TGGTGGCACTTTGTGTCACCTAGTGTTTATCGCCTGTGTGATGTCTTGGTGGGGTAAAAATACCTACCTACCTTATATTGGTCAAACGTCTACACACTAACTTACAGTCGCATTTGTTCTACGAATCGAGAACAAATAAACTTGGACACTATTTTGCTTTTCCCGCATGAGGGTGCACACCTATTCTTCAAACAAGCACAACAAATTCAAGTTAAGATTATTAAAAAAAAAAAAAAAAAAACGATGGCCACAGTGTTCTGGGACCTCAAAGGTAGGGACCACAATAACGTCAGAAGTTTAATGTAAATAACTGAAAAAACCTCATCGGTCCATTCAAACAAAAGACGCCGAGTGCTGATAGTGGGTCCTCCTAAGCGACAAGGCACGACCACACACTGCTCGCACAAAGGCTTTATTTGAGCAGAAGTGAGGAATGTTCTACCACTTCCCTACAGCCCAAACTTGGCACCAAACCATCATCATCTCTAGGGCAAGATGAAAGTCTGGTTGGCTACCCAGCACTTGGACACCGCCGGGGAGCTTATGTATGGAGTCAGCCAGTGGCTAAGTACCTGGCGGTGCCGTTACTTGACCAAGGGTTACAGAAACTCATGCCACGACGCAACAAGTGCCTGAATGTAGGTGCTGACTCTGTGGTCAAGTAATGCAGTAATCTATTGAGCTTTTGCATGTATTTAGATGGTTTTTTCCCCCCAGTATGTTTAAATGTTTACCAGCCAAACGGAGGTTGATTCTGGAATAGGCCTTGCAACAGCAAAAGCAATGTTTACAGTATGCGTGTAAAGAATTATAAAAGCAAACACATGTTTTATGGCCATTCAGAAACATTGAGATTTCTTACATTATCATCCTCAAAAGAAGAACAGCGGACGTAGTCTTCAATGTTGGAGGTGGCAGACGATATGATATCATTAATTTGTCGGTTAGAGAGTATCCGATCGTTCACTTCAACAACGGGGATAATGGCGGTCACAACTTGACTGCACACACAATATGGATTAGTCAATGGAAAAATTATAAACAGTCAACTAATTAATATAAGAAGTGTAAGGATATGACTGTTTAAAGATGGAGCAATCAATAAGTATTTATTTCCAGTAAATTGCTCACTTATTTCATTTTTTCCGGCTTCCCGTAGACCTGGTTGGCTGTTTATTAGTCTTCTTCGTGACCGCTGGTAAAGACTCTGATAGAGACATGCCGTTGTATTTGTGTGCTTCTTTTCAGTTCCTTTAGTTCTTCTTTTCAGTTTTTTTTTTAGTTAAACGATTTAGTCATAGCTGCTTCCTCCTCCTCCGCCTCTTCTTCTTCTTCTTTCTCTTCTTCTTCTTTTTCTTCTTCTTCTTTCTCTTCTTCATCTTCTTCTTCTTCTCCTCCTCCTTCTTCTTCTTCTTCTTCTTCTTCTTCTTCTTCTTCTTCTTCTTCTTCTTCTTCTTCTTCTTCTTCTTCTTCTTCTTCTTCTTCTTCTTCTTCTTTTTCTTCTTCTTTTCGCGTTTACCTGTTGTAAACTTTGGTAGAAAGTTCCGATTTAGTCATAGCTGCTTCCTCCTCCTCCGTCTCTTCTTCTTCTTCTTTCTCTTCTTCTTCTTCTTCTTCTTCTTCTTCTTCTTCTTCTTCTTCTTCTTCTTCTTCTTCTTCTTCTTCTTCTTCTTCTTCTTCTTCTTCTTCTTCTTCTTCTTCTTCTTCTTCTTCTTCTTCTTCTTCTTCTTCTTCTTTTTCTTCTTTTCGCGTTTACCTGTTGTAAACTTTGGTAGAAAGTTCCGGCTGTTCGTCTTCTTCTGCACTTTAGTTTTTTCCAAGAACTTGCATTTTACCTGCACATACGTTTTACATATCTAGCTTACTTTTAGGCAGACTGTTAGTTCCTCGACTTCAAGGCAGATGCATTTGGACACCAATGGAAACGCCTCTCATTAGTCGCTTTTTATGACACGCTTTTTAAGGGGCAGTGGGTCTACCCCCGTCTCTTAACACCCCAAAACAGGGCCCTAGAATCCATAAGTGGAAGAAACCAACAACACAAACTCTACAACCGTATCAAATGTCTGTGCTCGAGGCGGGACCAGAAAAGCAAGAAGCAGATATCTTCCTGGAGCCGGAGTTTAATAAAGAGAGAAGTGAAGAAAGGAAGGAAGGAAGGAAGAAAAGAAGGATAAGCACTTTAGGTAATCGTCTCATGAAAGGCACAAGGCATAGTATGTAAGTAGACGGCAGAAATCCTTCATCTGGTAATTGTTCTCGATCAGAACTGACAGAAGTCACGAAGTCAAGATACCCACCCATATCTCGAGGTCCATATCTGGGATCTGTGGCTGACTGACAGACGTTGACCCAGAAACAAGTGGGTGTCCCAGAAGAACTGTTCCAGACCTTTGTCTATCAGAAGTCGTCTCTCGGGTGTGACCTGGCAGTCCAGGTAAAAGGACAGCGAATGATTTCCTGGATATATCGTACGTTAAAACTTCATCAAAATCATCATTATCATCAACACCATCATCATCATCATCATCACCAACATCATATCATCGCCCTCCACCTCCTCGTCATCATCATGCTAAGATATAATTATTGCTGCTAAATCTCAGCTGGTGTACTGCTGGGGTCATGTGTGTTAAAAGTTAAATAAAGTACTTGGTTTTCGTGTCATGAGAAATATGATAACCCATGCTCGTCGTCAAGGCACTTGATGTTGATAATGACAAGGGGTGTAACACACACAGCCGAGATCCTGGCCAATGTCTGGATGCTTTCTGCACTGAGATGAACCCACAATACACATATTCATTCGCCACTTGATCAAAGGTGCATGAACCTGGGCGCTCAGGTTTATGGAGCACCACCCCCCCCCCTTTACATCAGGTGGACGGGGAAGGGGGGGGCTTTCTGTGGAAAGGGGCAAAGTGTATACACCTTTCTAAGTATTTGTCTGTACATTTCAGATTTTTTTTTTCCAAATACATTTATTTGTCATCGAGCACAAAAAAATTATAAAAATAATAATAATTTAAAAATTATTATTACTGCGTACAGAAACAAGGCTTAAATCTTGTGAGTTTCCTCACTGACTCTTAGAGAATTATGAAGAGGTTGAGAATGATTTCACTGTTGCTGCGCTACAGCATTGCAGACCAGATACTAATGGTTTCGTTTCTCGATGTGTTCACAGGGTTAGGTTAAAGATTTAACACAGTCAGCCCGAGTGCAGGGGGACATAATGGCACGGGAACAGCATAGCAAGTGTGTATTTGTCATGAGTCTTATGTCAATGTACACATAAATGGTGAAACTTTACTGACATTCTTTAAAAAAAAAAACTGTGGAATTGGGGCACCCATTTAATGTCAACCATAAATAAATGAAGCATAGAAGTACAAGATTCATGCGTATTTTCCACATATATCAACGTGTAAACTCTGTTACTGACTTACACCTTTTTCCTACTCTTTCAATATTGGTCAACCTTTTCCACATCCTTTAAATGTCGATCAACTTGTCTACTTTTTCACGAGACTCAAATGGTTAACTTTTTTCCCCATTGCAATTTTTTTCCTCTTCAGACTGACAGTTATTTTTTGAAAGTTGTTTTCCCCCTTTCCCAATACTGATCAATTTATCCGATTTTTCACTGTTGTAAATGTACCGGATCGTTCACTGTCGGATACTTTGTCGATCAGCTTGTCAACCTTTTTTCACATAGATCAGTAGGTCAACTCTAGTTATCTAGATAGAATAATAAAATTATTTGCTGATTTAACTACAACCATCAAATAATCTAACAATAAACGATAAGTAACTTACCAGATAAATAACCCGTCGCGTTAACGTCCTCCGATGAAAGGTTTGTGTTTAAATCCCGTGGCGCAGCCCTTATATTTGAGGCTGCCAGTTTTGTAGACGTCTGAATATCATTCCAAGGTGAAGACACCAAGCAGTCTGTGGAATCACAACCTGGCAACTGTGTACCTCTGCTGCCATTTCTTATCACTATCTTTGAATTATCCCCACTTGTTGAACTGGGTGTTTGAGCGGCTAAACTAAGATTCTGTATTTTTGTTTGGCATTTATGGCCTACCCAGCCCTCTTTACAAACACCACAAGCATACCCCGGGTATATGTTTACACAGAAAGGAAGTAGAGGTAATATATTCGAGTGGTCAGTTATACTTTTAAATAGGTCACTGCTAAACGTACAAATATATAGGTTCTCTTTGCATTCGTCAACGTGTTCACTGCAGAATAATCCAGTCAAATTGTTATGACACACGCAACGATAGCTCGAAGCCAAGATCTCACATACAATGTGTACATATGTTTTGTTAACTGGAGGATTGGGAAAATCTGTTTTCGAATTGACCAGCATTTTGCAAATATCTGGGTCAAGTGCGCGCTCGCTCACATCCTCATCACAAACAGTTTTAGTCCAACCAACTGGGCACTCACAGACAGACCTTGCAGGAAAGTTCTGACAAGTTGTTTCATTTCTGCAAGGGCGTTTAAACACGTTACAGTTATCCACATCGAATTCATATATTTGGCCTGTCAAATTCACAGAATAAACACAATGAAATCCTTCTTCTGAATTTAAATAAGTAGCATTATTATCACAAATTTCATGTTCACACTCATCAATATCTTCTTGACAACCCTGCTCCTTCCATCCTTTGGGACACAGACAGAGATAAGCGTTGCTGTCTTGTGAACATAATGACACATTGTTACATTTCATCAGATCACATTCTTTTACATTATTCTCACAAAAGCGTCCCTGATAGCCAGCCTGGCATATACACAGAAAACCTTGCTGCAGATTCTGACAACTGCCGCCATGTTTGCAAGGGTCAGACAGGCACTCGTCCACATTCTGCTCACATGTGACCCCAGTCCAGAACTGAGAACAGGTACACTTGAACCCGTCATCCAGCTCCGTGCAGTTGCCGCCATTTTTACAGACATCCTTCGTGCATTCGGGGACTCTGGCCTCACATGAGGGTTCCTGAAATGTTGCAAACGACATACTATATCTGAATAAAAATTTTAAATATTTTTTTTTAATCAAAGTCTCTCTTTTCTCTCTCACACACTCTCTCTAGCTCGCTCTCTTTCTATCAGACTCTCTCTAGCTTGCTCTCTTTCTCTCTCTCTCTCTCTATCTCTCTCTCTCTCTCTCTCTCTCTCTCTCTCTCTCTCTCTCTCTCTCTCTCTCTCTCTCTCTCTCTCTCTTTCTCTCTCTCTTTCACATACACTGACCATCTTCCCCAAGATTCTAGTCGCGGACAGTTTATGCTGGCACTTTTAACCTTATGTTTTTACTGCGTGTGCATGCTTGTTGCTTTGTCGGGATTCTAGCCCATTTACCACCCCCCCCCCCCCCCCCGGGACAGTGATGGGTAGTCTAAGGAATCACAAAACCATCCGTATAAACAACAGCATCTTTCGGTGATGTGTTTTCCTCCACCAATGCTTTCATGTATGCATTAACTATTTGGTGGCGTTAAATCAGAAACGATAAATTATAATTAAATATTCGTAAATACCCAAGCGGACTAGTTTTTTTTTTTTTAAAGACACCCAAAGAAAAAAAAAAGAGATTCGTCTTTGGGAGCACATTTTAATTGGAGACCCTGTCTTATTTTCCAGAAAACACGATAACTAACCACAAGATGAGAAGCAGATAGTAACTGATTTACTGACCAAGATCGATCAGGTAACTGCTAACCTGTGTATCTCTCAGGACATTCGCAGAAGAATCCTCCAGGAAAGTTCTGACACTGTCCGCCATGTTTGCAAGGGTTTTTCTGGCACTCGTTCACGTCCTGCTCACACTTGGGTCCAAAGTACTCACTCCTGCACACACACGTGAAACTTCCATGCGTGTTCACACAGACACCGCCATGTTGGCAGACATGAAAGTCCCGACATTCGTTGATGTCTGTCTCACAGTGTACACCTGTAGTGGAAGCCATATTATATATATAATTTTTTTAAAGTCCAGAAAAGACTGGGAAAACATTAACTATATGCAGGTTTAAATAACAGTAGACAAATAAAGACATTGCGGTGATTAGCCTTCATCCCCAGGACAGCCACAAGAAACGAAAAAAACCAAACAAACAAACAACATACAAACAATTAATTGGCTCTGAAATGTCTACAATACGGTACTTAAATATTATTTAAACAAACGAAAACCCCGGTGCCATGTAGACTATAGTGAACTAAAACTGTAGTGATAAACCCGGTCAGATGCCTGTTCTCAGTTAACTCATTCAATCCCAGGGGGGTTTAGCATCAAAGACCCAGTGGGTAGTAAAGAGAGATGTGAATCAGCGCATCTAGCGTTTATTGGGCTTTTAGGTAGCTACCCAAGAAGATAGGATGTGTTTTGGGGGACTGAAACAATCAAGTTTAGGAGTAGCTGTGTTACATAAGATTAGTTGTCAGGATCTGATCAAAGAATCTGCAGTTAAAGAAAGTATAAGAAAATTATCCAGACACAAACAAAGTAAAAGAATGTGATATTGATCATAGATATTATTATAGAACATAGATATTAATTTTCCTCTTACTGAAAATTTTGTTTAATTTATATGAATTCATTTTTAAAATGGTTTGCCAATGTTTGCATTTTGAATTACATTTATATGGCGGTTACCAGTGCCGCCCTAACACAGTGGCCCCTTGTCCGGGGCCCCACGAGCGTTGGGACCCATGCTAATCCGTGTATGTCAAGGGATCATTTAATAACATTTATGTGTGGTTGTGTTGAGGGCGCCAGCGCACTGGTTTGCCCAGAGGTCCATAATACTATTGAGACGGCTCTGGGGGAGGGGGTGGAAAAGGGGGGGGGGAGCGGCGGAGGGAGAGGAACCAAAATCTTTCAAGTTTTTACGATATCAAAGGGTTTTAATCCGACCCTGGGCTTATGCTCAACGCAAAGCGGTCTGTTAACAATTCCCCGACAGCTGCCTGCCAACCGTAGAATGTGGTCACAGCCACTCCAATACACGGAGAAAAAGACAAAATACAGCATACATGACCTTGAAATCCCACGGGACACTGACAAGTATATCCTCCAAGAAGATTTATGCAAATTCCTTGGTTCATGCAGGGGTTACCGCTGTCACACTCATCCACATCCAGGGAACAGTCGTTGCCCTGGTAGCCGGACAGGCAGTCACAGTTGTAGTCTCCGAGGACGTTGGTGCAAGTTCCGTTGTGCTTGCATGGCTCCATCTGACACTCATCAAGGTCCTCGCTACACAACTTCCCTGTCATGCAGAGAGGTAGAGATAAATATAACAGCTGAAATGAGATTCTTGCAAAGGGTGAGGCAGCGGCAGCTCTGAATTTCATTAGAAGACAACAGATGAATTGGTTTGGCCATGTAATGCGGATGTCAGCAGACAGTATACCACAGCCTGCAATGATGTACAGACCAGACGGGAAGCGATGAAAAGGCCGACCATGCTATCGATGGACAGAGGAGGCCTTTATTCTCACCATCTAGAAATGTTATAGGAGGATAGGATCCCCCTTTTTTTTTAACCCCGGGAAATTCTTTTTTAATTACGTGATTATTTATTTTATACGTGTCTTCTTGTAAAATGTTTATTTCTTTCAAATTCCAGTAGTTTTGCGCCTAAACAAGGCTTTGGCTCATTGAACGACCATCGTCCCTCCCCCCCCCCCCCCCCCCTCACTTTTTTCGAAAAATTGAAGGAGGACGTTGAGCCATATCCTTCTCCAATATTTTCAACTTTTCATGGCCTAGCACCATCAGGGGACAAATGCACGAACGCCCTCACCATCTAGCCAGGGGACAAATGCACAAACGCCCTCACTTTAGAGCTAGGGGACAAACACACGAACGCTCTCACTATCTAGCCAGGGGACTCTTGCCCTCACTTTTTAGCTAGGGGACACACACGCACGAACGCCCTCACTTTCTAGCTAAGGGACACTTGCCCTCACTTTCTAGCTAGGGGACACACGCACGAACGCCCTCACTTTCTAGCTAGGGGACACTTGCCCTCACTTTCTAGCTAGGGGACACACACGCACGAACGCCCTCACTTTCTAGCTGGTGGAAAAACACACGAACGCCTTCACTTTCTAGCTAGGGGAAAAACGCACGAACGCCCTCACTTTCTAGCTAGGTGAAAAACACACGAACGCCCTCACTTTCTAGTTAGGGGGAAAACGCACGAACGCCCTCACTTTCTAGCTAGGGGAAAAACGCACGAACGCCCTCACTTTCTAGCTAGGGGAAAAACGCACGAACGCCCTCACTTTCTAGCTAGGGGAAAAACACACGAACGCCCTCACTATCTAACCAGGGGACACTGGCCCTCATTATTTAGCCAGGGGACACTTTCCCTCACTTTCTAGCTAGGGGACAAACACACGCACGCCCTCACTACCTAGCCATGGGACACACTCATGAAGGTCCTCGCTATCTTCAGTATCTCTGAGACTAGTATTAGTTCCTTACTAGTAACAGAGAGTCACCGTGGTGTAGCGGCTGGACGCTCGCCTGGGAATCCGAAGGTCGTGGGTTAAAATCTGAACACAGCCGTACTTTTTATTTTAATTTTTTGTAATGACCGTGACTTCCAGATCGACCCAGTCCTTTATTGTATACCAGGTACAGTCTTGTGAAGTTGAGGCGGCCGGTGTGATGCTGACCACATCACCCACCGAGTGCTGATTTGTCTATAATATTCAGGTCTAGCACTTACTCTCGTATAGAATGCCTGGCATTGTCAGGGCAGGAAAAATGTTGAATTAAGAATCGACATCACATCACTTCAGCAGCAAGCGAAGAGTTCCGATTCTGTTGGTACCAGTAACCGTCTGATTGTATACCCGTCTCATCCTTTCCCTAATTGTTGCGCGTCGGCCAGATCCCCTGGGTAACTCCTTGATGCGCCATTCTCCTCAGACCGTAATGATTTATCTGCGCCTCCGCACTGTTCACTCGCTCTCAAAGGGCTCTCACAGTGTAGGGCAGGAAGAAGTCGCGGGAACGAGCCATTTTGCTCGCTTCGGACTTGGTATTTTTCATTGTCTCCGATATTTCTGCGGTCTATGTTTTGCATGGTCGATCTCTGGCTTTGTTACCGCGGTATGTGGATAACATTGCTTTATGTGGTGCCCTATCTGGTGCCCGTCTTGTTACATGACCAAACCATTTGATCTGTAGTCTAGCGATGAAGCTCAATATTGGTTCTGTGCCGACTGTCCTCTGATATCAACGTTCCTAAAGACACATGGGCAGGAAATATGGACTATGAGTCTCTTGTGGCGCATAACAGTTCAATGGTGATGATGATGATGATGGTGATGATGATGATGATGATGATGATGATGATGATGATTACCCGTATATCCAGCGAGACAGCTGCACTCAAAGCCTGCTATTCGATCTATACACAAGGCTCCATTCTGACACGGAGAGTTCATGCAGTCATCGATGTTTATTCCGCAAGCGTCCCCAGTGAAACCTGCAATGGTGGAGTCATTGTCAGTGAGAAAAAAATGTTCATCTCTTAGAGTCCCGAACAACGCGCGATGTGTTGTCGGTTCTTTCCTTGAATTCCAACCCTCGCTTAATACTTTGTGTTGGTTTTAATGTTTGGTAGGAGGGTATCAAAAAAGAATTTGGCCATAAAAATTGCCACTTCTCTTGAGTGTCTTTTATTTGTAAGAGCTAGTAGCATGCAATAGTTTGTTGTTAGGCGCTGTCTTACTCTGGTCCTCTCCATTAATTAAAAACTACTCAATAGCACACAGATAAAGATTGTGATTTTAAACACGTCTACGGTTAACGAACTATTGGACGTAAATTTGCCTAGAGAAACCACACAACAGCCAGGGGCTGCTGGGGTTGGTTCTGCAACGCCCTGTAAAGGATACGCAACTAACTAACTACAGTTAACGACATGGAGAGTCTGTTGCTTTCACATCTGCAGTAAAATGTTTCATTGGTTGGTTGTTTGCTTAAATGTTTGTTTGTTTCCTGCTTAGTTTTTAATCTGTTGGTTCTATATGTGGTTGGGTTTTTTTTTTAAATTCGTTGTTTGACTGGTTAGTTGTTTGATAGGTTAGTTGTTTGAGTGGTTGGTTATTTGACTGGTTAGTTGTTTGTTCGGTTGGTTGTTTGATAAGTTTTTTTGTTTTTTTTTATTGGTTGGTTTTTTGATTGGTTGGTTTTTTTATTGGTTGGTTTTTTTGATTGGTTGGTTTTTTGATTAGATGGTTTTTGATTGGTTGGTTTTTTTATAGGTAGTTTGTGTGAGTGATTTGTTGGTTGACTGGTTAGTTGTTTGTCTGTTTGATTCTTTTAATGCTTAGTAGTTTGATTGATTAGTTATTTGATTGGCTGGATGTTTGATTGGTTAGTTGTTTGATTTGTTTGTATTTTTGTTAGTTGTTGTTGTTTGCCTGGCTGGCTGGCTGGTAAATCGTCTGTGAGACTAAGGGTTACGTCTAAAGTCTGAAGCATTGTCTTTCAGGTTGTATTAGAACTAAACCGGGCATATCTTTACTGTAGTGAGTGGCGTAGTGGTTGCCCATATGTTGAACAGGCACACGAAACAATGCAAACACTGTCTTACATCCCTTTGCACAGCCAAACCGCTTGATGTTTCATAACTAATGTTTTCTTCCTCTTGTACTGCTTTCAGGTTTTGAGGGAGATGTAAGGTTCTGCTTCTTGTCTTTCTGGCTACAGGAGTCCTGTTCAGGGCTTTTAGTGGCGTGCTGTGCTAGGCCATTTTATATGGCGCACTCAACCTAATCACAATTATAACCTAAAGCTGCTCTTTCTGGGGTGGAAGTTAAACGGGACGATTTTGTAATCTTTTTTTTTTTCTAGCACAGCAACGACGACGATTTTCTCTGCTGGTATGTAAACCTTGTATGGTTTGGCAGTTGAAAGAAGTGAGAGTCCTTGAAACCCCCAGACGCTGTGTGGATGCTGGTATCTGAGGATCCAGTGCCCCGTCTGGAAGTCAGATGTGGTCTGAACCACAAGTGGCTTACAGTGCACTAAGAGTTCAAACAATAGACAGTATTCATGCGATCACCTTGAAAACAAGTGCAGACGAATGAACCAGGTGTGTTGACACACTCGCCGTGTTGGCAGACGGCAGAGTCCAGACATTCATTGATCTCAGCCTCACAAAAGCGGCCCTCGAAGCCGGCTGGGCATCGCAGGAGAACATGTTGATGAGATTCTGACAAGTTCCTCCATTGCGACATGTCACACCGGAACACTGGTTTCGTTTGACAATACAATTTTCGCCAATCCAACCTATGACAGATACATAAAACAATTGTTATTGCGATAAGGAATATATATATATATATATAGTAATAGTTGTAAATTTTACCCCACCAGGACATCACACAAGCCATAAGCACCCGATGACACAAAGTGTCACCATGCAGATGAGGATCACCCTGTAGAGTCCCAGAAACCGCGTTCAGCCAAGGCAATATTCATGGCCGGGATATATTGCGGCCCCTGGAAAGAGTCAAGGTGGGGCTTCAAAATAATGAAACATTGAATCCCACAAGGAAATGACGGATGGAATTTTATGCAAAGATATTACTTAACTGTCGGACCTTGTAGTAGTAGTAGTAGTAGTAGTAGCAGCAGCAGCAGCAGCAGCAGCAGCAGTAGTAGTAGTAGTAGTAGTAGATTTCACCCCACCAAGATAAACACCCGATGACAGAAAGTACCACCATGTGAATGATTGGACTTTCTACCACACTAGGACATCACACAAGCGATAAACACCTTATGACACAAAGTGCCACCATGTGGATAAGGATCGCCGTGGAGAGGTCCCAGAAACCGCGAATTTATCAGATATATACTTATTGGCCATAGTTAGTATGGCCATGCCTATATTGCGGCCCCTGGCAAAAGCCAGGGTGGGGCTTCAAATAAAAATAAATTTCGTCCTAAAAAGGACGAAACTGGATAACCGCGTTCAGCCGTTAGACCATATTTATGACCGGGCTATATTGCTATATAATTAAGTAATGAGACTAATTCGATAAGAATTTTAAAAAATCAACAGTTCAAAATTTAACCTAAATTTTATTCAAAGTAAGCCCCTTGTGCATTAATACAGCAGGTGGCACGATCTAACCATAGCCAAACTTTAGTACTGTCGATGGCTACGATCTAACTAACACTGGAACGACCTCTGTATTTCTTCTGCTGTTATGGCCCTTAAAGTCGATGTTACTTCCCTTTGTATGTTATCAATAACGTCAAAGAAGCGTCCTTTCAAAGGCAACTTTAATTTTGGGAATAGAAAATAGTCACAGGGAGACAAATCTCGGGGAATATGGTGTATGTTTGAGAACACGCACTTGTTATGGAGCCAACAATTCATGTACAACTTCCGTCTTTTGGGCCAGTGCACTGTCATGAAATTGCCAGGTGTTGATTACAAACCGGCAAGAAACTTTTTTCTTTCCCAAATTTTCCACTAAATTTTTTTACAAATAGTCTCTTTATTAACACTAAATTCATCTACCATCATCCTCACAGTCGAACAATGATTTTCTTTTATCTGCTCTCGGAATATAGCAATGAGTTCCTCATGAGGATCAGAAAATGGGCATCCAGGTCTAGTGGCATTAGTAATTATTTCCACACCACTTTTGAATCGTGAAAACAGCTGAAAATCTGTGCACGAGACGAACAAATATCCCCATAAACTTTGTCGCATCAATGAAACTTTTTCTGAGTTTTTAACATAACTTAATGAAAGCTTTGTGTGTGTGTGTGTGTGTGTGTGTGTGTGTGTGTGTGTGTGTGTGTGTGTGTGTGTGTGCTTTATGCTGATTATGTAACAATGTACCTCTGACTAGGTTAACAAAATAGCGGCTTGTTTATCGGGTGGCTATAAAAAGTTGCCAGATCATGAACGAAGCTTGTCTCTTTGGATTATATGCTATGATTTATAGATGGCATTTTTGTCTTAGCCATAATATTACTTAATTGTCGGACCTTGTATATATATATATATATATATATATATATATATATATATATATATATATATATATATATTTTGATTGGTTAAGTATTTAAATGGTTGGTTGTTTGATTTGTTGTATGTATATGTGTTTGTTCTAAATCGTAAATCTCCTAAATCTTAAATTTCTGTGATGATCCTCATTGTCCTACATTTAAAGGCCCAAAGCAAATATTTGAATGGCCCTAGTGTAAATTATGCTGTAGTGTATGAGTTGATTGTGTTAATTAGAGATTAATGTTTTTTGTTTGACAATCTGTCTTGTTAACCCTACCAGACCTGAGGCACTGAACCTAACTGCTATATGATGTATAGAAATATTAGTTACATGCAAACAAGTGGTTAGATTAAAATAAAACTTGGAGACATTGTAGAGAAAAGGGTTACCTTACATCTAGCGCCAATATTCAACCTTTGTGTGCCAATCGACACGGCAGGATCAGCCTTGTTTTACAAAGTGAGCACCAGATGTTGCTGTTTGAGGGACACGCCCCTTATCTTACTATAGTTTTAAACCCACAATTTTCTAGATTTTTCTCATCACTAGAGCTCTCACTGACTATGTCACTTCAGCTAGGAACATATTCTTCATAAAATTCTGACATTTCAGAGTCTGAATCAACCAAAGTATCGATCACCTGTTTGACTGTGAAAAGCCTAGACCTACTTCACTTTTCTGTCGAAATGCTTGGTTCATCAGCCGCTCGTTTCATTGTGAATTTTCAGAATTGTTTCCCCTTAAACCATACAAAGTAAATCTAAACACACGTAGGTTGCCCGGCTCTCTAGCGGAATTGGCTAAACCGGATTTCGCGGAGACCGGGTGACATACTCCTTGTGGTCCGGGTTCAATCCCGGGGGTAGGCAGGAAAGCCACATTTTCTCCCAGATTTACGGTATTTACAATGGAATCAAGGCCGAAAGGTTGCGATATCCACAATACCGAGCCTAAGGGTTAACAACTCATGGCATCTGGATACTAAAACAAACACACGTAGGCAGACATCTGACGAGGTCTGACCACGATTAGCTGGTTATTTAAAGTTTGTGAAGCATTCTGTTCACGTAGTAGGCAAAGTACCGACAATGAGGTACATGGGTTTAAAGGCAGATTAGGACATTACAGCAAAAGCAGTACATCGGTCTGTTGTGTGATTCCATTATTGTGTTGATAGGTTGTACAAACTACATCACTGAGGCACTTGGGTTAGTTTATGATTATTGCTGAATATATGCGTATAATTACATATTGGCCCTTTTTGTTTCAGTTAACTCTTTGAGTTCCATGGAACGCATCATACGTTCATAGGTTCCCACCTAGAAGCCCAATGAACGCATGATGCGCTGATTTTATGACTCTCTTTTCTACCCCCTGGGCCTGTGATGCTAAACCCCCTGGGACTCAAAGAGTTAAAAATAAAAATCAGAGTTGATGTTGATTTATTTAATGAATTTGAATTTTTTTTAATGATTTGTTAATCTTTATAACTGTCAAAAATTTTCGCATTTTACTGAAAATAGTTTTAGCCATTCCTATTATGTTTCATTTTTATTTATGTTTCATTTCTGGTAGTCTGGTAGTCTAAGTTTCAGCTTCATAGCAAACGGGTCACCCCATAGTTGCTCCGCTCCTGTGCCAACGAAAATCACACAGAATGTTTTTTTTTCAGTCCCTTGTGGAAAGATTGACAGACTGCTGTCTCAGCATATCTAGCATACACAGGCATTAAAAGCACACGGTAGCCATCCGAAGTGCTAACACAAACAATCCGACATTAGAAATGCAATTCATCATTGACGGTAGCAGAAGTCACCAACAGATCAGCAGTTGCCCACGCGATCAATTTTAATCACATAAGGGCACCACCAATATTGCGACGACAGAGATCGCGCCATTTTCTAAATCTACAATTCACAACACCACGCTGGTCACAGTCGAAAAATATTTCACATGAAATCCGCAGCTCACAGTGTCACGCCATGCATTCAACTCTGAAGCGACGAAACTATATCCTTTCAGTCTACAAATGGAGCTAAAATGCAACGGCCACCGTCTGGCAAAAGCAAAAATTGTGCCTCGGCTTCAAACAGTGCCCGTGCCTAAAGTCTATTTTGACCGGGGGTAGCAGTGAGATGACAAAACCACGACACTTGGCTACAACCTGATAACAGTGAGACGACAAAACCACGACACTTGGCTACAACCTGGTATCAGTGGGACGACAAAACCACGACACTGGGCTTCAACCTGGTATCAGTGAGACGACAAAACCACGACACTGAGCTACAACCTGATAATCACTTCTGTAATCATCTGTTACCACGTGGTACCAAATCGTAACAGAAAAAACAGAAACAGGAAAGAGAATGTTGTTACTGTTTAGGCACACTGTGAGCGAGGCATAAATATCTATGGTAGGGCCAGAGAGATATCCTTCTAGCTCGAACAAGACTTTGGGTCAAACCTGGCTCCTGTAGCCGTTACGGTTGCCCTAACCCGCTTGTCGTCAGTGGCCCTAATATAGCCTAACGGTTGAACTGGGTTTTGGGGACATGTTGCCCATGGGATTCTCATCCGAATGGTGACACTTTGTGTCATTGGGTGTTTATCCCTTGTTGTGCGGTTCTGGAGAGGTTGACGTCCCTCACTCATTCTGCTTATAGACCGATCAACATTCCACGAGGGCCTCTATTTCCCCTCGCTTGCCTCGTGTACTGGTTAGTTCGATTCCTTATCCAGACGAATCCATACTGCAGAAAAAGACCATCATGCCTACACGCAAAGTGATATTTACAACACTTGGCTTGGCTTGCTTTAAAAAAAAAAACTTGTCACGTTCGCTAGCATCCCCCAAGGGGGAGCTTTAGTTTATAATTGTGCGCCATATAAAATGGCTTACTATTGCTCGCCACTAATTAGCTCTGAAGATAACTGCTGCAATGTTGATGCGATCAAAGAATATGGACCCAAATACTGCCCCTGACCGACGACGAAGTCGTCTACCGGCCAGCCAATGGGCGACACGGTTTCCGGTGATGTTTATAACAAGAATGTAGTTGTATTTCTAAGTGTAAAACAGTACCAGCAAAACAAATCTTGCTTCCGTTTGTTGGATGACACGAGTAATGGCCTCTGGAGTCATTGCGAGCCATACAAGCAACGCTGCAGTTGTGCCCGTAATAGTTGCGTCCACAGTAGGCTTTGGCTTCGAACATCAACCTGGCAGAGAAGACACATTCATGGGGTATTTAGGACTTGGGTTTAGTTGTTTAGTTGTGTTACATCATTTGACTGAATGTGAGACTTTTTACAGCAGAACATCTGGGAGGAAGGCGAAATGAAGACCAAGAAAGAGATGGATAAATGGTGTAGCTAAAACTTGCAAAAAAAAAAAAAAAAAAATGAACAAATCCATTCTCAAAACCACCGGAGAAGTGCAAGACATATACAGAAAACCACGACACTGGGCTACAACCTGTTATCAGTGAGATGACAAAACCACGACACTGGGCTACAACCTGGTATCAGCGAGATGACAAAACCACGACACTGGGCTACAACCTGTTATCAGTGAGACGACAAAACCACGACACTGGGCTACAACCTGTTATCAGTGAGACGACAAAACCACGACACTGGGCTACAACCTGGTATCATTGAGATGACAAAACCACGACACTGGGCTACAACCTGTTATCAGTGAGACGACAAAACCACGACACTGGCTACAACCTGGTATCATTGAGATGACAAAACCATGACACTGGGCTACAACCTGGTATCATTGAGATGACAAAACCACGACACTGGGCTGAACTCATCTATGTTATTGGCTTTCTCTTTCTGGGTGTTGGCTCTAAGTGTTTGTAGACCTGCCTGGATATTATCTCCCCATCGTCTTCTTGGTCTGCCTCAAAGTCTTTGACTATTTCAACTCCATTGTTTACAGTTTTGACTTTTCTGTCTCACATTCTCCGTATATGCTCCAGCTTTTCCAGTCTATGAGCCCTCGTGATGCTCGTGACAGATGACGATTTAAACCTATTATGAATTTCAATGTTGCCTCTCTATTCCTTGCCGTGGCAAGAGCGGCTAGACGCGCGCCGCGGATCGGAAGGTCGTTGGTTCGCTCCCTGGCGGAGCCGGACTTTTATTCAAATATGACCTTGGCTCCCAGGTAAACCCAGCCTTGAGTGGGTAACGGGTGCAGTCCTGGGAAGTAGAGGCGGCCGGTGTGATGCTGACCACATCACCCGTCTTGTGCCGTTGGTCTATAAGTCTAACCCTATATGCCCTATACGCCTTAAGACGTGGACAAGGATCTTTTACTCACTTACTCCTCATTTCTGGACATTTGAGAAAAATGTGTTGCACACTCACTCACTTTAGGAAAACAACTCAAAAAAAAAAAAAAAAAAGGCTTAGTTATTAATCAAAATAAGACAGAAAGGATGGTAATAACTAGGGCTGTACCGAATAGTGATTTTCACTATTCGGCCGAATACGAATAGCTGGACCAACTATTCGGCCGAATACGAATACGAATAGTGAATCATCTTCATCATGTGCTTTGCCGGCTGGCATGGGCGATTATGCCTCGCCACAATCTGAGATCTCCTGCAGCACGTATTAGTTCGTGTGCTGACACACCTCCATGAAAAACCTTCGTTCCATGTTGTCAGCGTTAGGCCAGCTTTTTGTCTCACTGAAGGTATTTCCAGCTGTACTAAACAGGAAAATACGACAAATACAGAGAGTCAAAATGAAAACCCGCAAGGCGAAACATCAAAAACAAAAATAACGCCGATGAAGAAAACAATTCCGTCCTTACAAGTCGCCCAGCCCCTCAGAGCTCACGAAACCAGACGCCGGGCGGCCAACGCTAGAAGATCAAACAACAAAGACAATCAAGAAACCGAACGTCGATCAAAACATTCAGCCGCTGCCGTTTCCACGAGACGACGAAAGAACAGATACGACACCCATAAATGATGACGAACTCCCGTTACTTCAAAGAATCAACGAAGAGGACACTCCACTCAAAGAAATCAAGCCGACAACACTAGAACACTTGCTTTTTTGTCCCTCTTACATTTTTAAGTGTTGCATTTTGTTTCTACAGCAACACACCTAAAAACACTATACTCGCAACACATGCAAGATAGAAATAAAGGGGCACTTGGTACGCTCGTAGGTGGTGCACAAAGATAACGCTTCACAGTATAAACCAAGGTGGGAAGTCTTGATGTTTTTTTTCCCACCAGTCCAAAAACGGTTGTGAGGTAACCACTATTCGTATTCGGCCCGACCGCAACTATTCGGCCGAATACCGAATAGTTATTGGGTCCACTATTCGGCCCCGAAGCGAATACGAAGCGAATATTCGGTACAGCCCTAGTAATAACAAAACAGAGAGAGGATAACTCCAGCCACATATAACGAGATAACATGAAAATCCAACGAAAGCAAACGTGCACCTACTTAGATAGAAATGTCAAACCCTTAAGCATACTAAGAGAAGAAATATAATCTAGAATATAAATAATGTATACAATGTCGTACAACATGTGCTAAAATCAAATGCGTTATCTTGTAACGCCAAGATATCATTCATTCATTTATTCAGTAGCATGTCCCTCGCGGAACCTCGCTGCCATAACAACCCTCCGGAAAACCTTCCTATCCTGAGCAAGATGTCCTGCGTCTGATACACCCATCTGGAGATCATCTGCCACATCCTGCACCCATCTTCTCCTTGGCCTTCCTCTTCCTCTCTTCCAAGGCATATACCCCTCCATTATTGTTCTCTCTAGACTTCCATGACGTTTCAAGTGACCAAAATATTTCAATTTTTTTTGTTTTATTGTCTTTACTAGCCAACCCTCTTCAATATTCAGCTCTTGAAGTATGGATGCGTTTGTTCTTTTCTTTACCCAAGATATTCTTAGAACCTGTCTGTAACATTTATATTCAAATGCATTTATGCGCTGTTCCGCTTGTTTAGTAAGTGTCCAGGTCTCACAGGCGTATGTTGCAATGGGAAAGATGCATGCTCTTAAAAATCTGACCTTTGTAATTCTATCTGTACAATTCCATAATTTATTCAGTTGTTTTAGTCTTTGAAGAGCAATTGATAGTCGCCGTTTAATTTCTTTCATTGTGTCACCATTGTTGGTAACCAGTGACCCAAGATATTCGAAATTTTCCACCACTTCCAATCTTTCCTCATTAACATATATTTCCTTCTCCATGGCAGTTTTGTTTGTATGCATTATCTTTGTTTTTGCTATGTTAGGAAATAAGTTATGATTTTCACTATTTCTTTGGAGTGAGGTTAATAAGTTTTCTAAACCATTTTGTGATGTTGATAGTAATACTGTATCATCAGCATAACGAATTTCTGGTATTTCATGACCACCGATGTTTAGGGCATCATATTGTTCCTTGTATATTGCCAAGATATCAACAGATAAAATGCCTAAAACACCAGTTGTCTTATATAACTTCAAAACATGGAGCACAGCTAACACAGATCTTCTACATATCATTCGCCAGTTGTAAACTCCGGTGGAAAATTCTGGTGATTCGTCCATTTTTGGCCTTTGTTCTTTGTTCTTACCCCAGAACATCCGGTTAATTGATCTGGCTGTTTTGTACGCAGACTGTTGGTTCCTTACCTCTCAAGCGGATGAACACCTACGTCATGCTTGTTAGGGGGGGGGGGGGGGGCGGCTGGGTGTAGAGAAGCAAAAGATCTATTTTTCCCCCCTAACAATGGGGTATTGGAACGCACAAGGGTAACTAAACATACTAAAAGTAGTTAACTAAGCTCACCGGACAGCAATGTGATTTTTATCAGGAATACGTCAGTTAAGTAATTTTTGTGCATTCTTTTTTGCGCCTCTGGTAATATTAATTTATGTAATATATCGATGAAGGCCCTCTGGCCGCAAAGTTCACTTATCGTTTGTGTTCGTGATATTGTGAAGCTGAATGGTACTGCATTTTCTTTGGTTTATTATGTTTTTAATGATATGACTAAACAGATTATAACTTTATTATAGATGTCGAGGTGAGCAAACAAATTTGACTTACTCCACGTTCCTGCCAATTTTAAACCGTGTCCCGGGATGGCTGGCTTGGGGCACGAGGGAGATGATCTGTCTGAGGTATGCCACTTTATCTGGAGATTTCTGCTGGTCGATATCAACGACGTCAATCTTTAACAGGACACGCCCCTTGTGTGATCAATCAGGCAAATATTACA